TTAGCGGAAAACATGTCGCTCAAATGGAACATCACTTTCAGAGTATAATAGTTATCCAGGACTACAACGCAATGGCGTTAAATGCAGTATCTTGATCTTCAGACACCAGGTTGTAAGAAATTTCTTGTAACTCAATACCTCCTGAATGCAACAACAACGCTACTTTCTGCCCTTCATTGATTACTCCTTTCGAGGCCACATACAGGTTAAAAGTATGTTTCCATCTTTTCCATCGAACGGACAACGAATTCGGCTCTCCCTTTGCGTCAAAGCAAGGAAGACCACGGACCTCCAGGATCTGTTTTGCACTCGCCCCACCTAAGTTGCTGGACAATCGTGCGCTTGGGTTGCTTTCTTGTTCTTCGGGTGTTCCAGTCGCCTGCATGATTCCCTTCTCTATAAAAATTATGTCAGGAATTTAATCTTTGAGCACTTGGAAAATCATCCTCGTCGCCAAATGTAATGATGGCCTGTTAATACCTAGATAAGTGCAGATAAACTCAACAGGTTTCTTTAATCTACACCAGCAAGCACGCCATGTTACAGTACCATGATTCTTTTTGCACCAATAACTCTATATAACAGTAACGAAATGTCTAAATACTACAATCTGGTTTGGCAAAGCTAATTTAAACAGAGTCCAAACAGAGTCAGGTTAATCTTACACGTACCTCACTTAATGCAAACCACAAAACTTTACTGGCTAAGTCCAAAATCCTTGCAATAATTGTACCTTGGCCCTCCCAAAATAACTTTATGTAGCCGTTCTTCTGGATGTCTTTCTTGTAACTATCCAAAATAAAGGACTTTTAAGTCAGAGTCGGTTACTTATTCTAAAAGTTAAAAAAATAATCAGTTTGGTTTACTTAACATAAATTTAAAATATGAGTGGGGTGTGCTCAAGCCAAGAGATTTCTGAATGCACGAGGGAAAAATTTTCGGAAGAGTTGTCTTATCACATCAGAGGTAAGACACTAAGCAATACAAATTTGGTTGCGTAAAAGCAAATTTTAATGAAAATGACAGCACTTCCGGTTGCCTTGCGTTGCTAAAAAATGTGCTTCCTGGTGATAGTTTCGCCACATGCCATGGGATGCTCGAAATTCTTTAACTATAAACATGCTATCAGTTGCAGCTGGTTGCGTGATGAAAAGTATACAAGCAATTTAAGGCAGTATAATGGTGATGATTAAATTTTCTGTTGCCTCAAGTCAGACCTCTATGGAAATTACTTGTCATAATTTTTTGTTCAGCTTGGAATTCTAGTGTGTTTCTGCTAAACCAACCAAAAGCTGTGTGCTTAAAATTCTTATGTGCAATCATTTCGAGATCAATCCAAAATCGCTTTTTATGTTTTTATTGGTAGTTAGAGTTTCTTCTGCTTAAAAGGACACGCTAATTTGCTGACAAAATTTGGTTAAACAAACGCCAAAGCAGGGCTTGCTCGGTCGCAAGCGTTGTAAAGGAGGAGCTTAGAGGCCTTTAATACTGAAAATTAATAAGCTCTTCCAATAATGGCAGTGTTTTGGCATAAATGCTCTATGTCGGGTACCACACAGAAAGCGCACAAAGGGTAATGGGCAAAATTCTGGTGGCAGGGAAGTGCTTAAATCTGGGGGGAGACAAGATCGAGTGGTACCAGGGGTAGCCACACTGTACAGGAGTCCTGATCAGTCTCCTGGGGTGAAGCCCACATCCCCTAGTCAATAGGAACTAAGGGGAACTAGGAGGGGTGGCCCTTCTGGGTGGAGTACAGATCAGGTGGGAGCGGGGGGTCCACACCGTGGAGTAGATACTTTTTTTCCAGACCTGTCTCCAAGGGCTAAGCCTTACTGTGGGGTAAAGTGCAGCCAGGGGTTGCACTTCCCTGCCACGGATTGTGGAGCATGCAGAGACAGGGGACACAATCCCCCCACAGTAGAAGGCAAATAAAGTCGGGCTCCTCTAAGCAGAGGGAGACTTCAAACTTAGGACGCTGCTCTTCCCTGTTGTCAAGGGTTCCTTGTGCCAGGTCTTCATTAACAAAAATTCCAGGGGGCTTGATTCTCCTTAAACTTCTGATGATCTGTTCTTTTTGCTTCCAATCGCGGAGGCGACAAACGATGGTCCTTGGACGTCTTACGGAGCCAGTTGTAGCATTTGCTCTTCTGCCGAGTTGATGAGCCCGCTCGATATCCGGTTCTTCATCGAGGTTAGGCTTCTCTTTGAGTATCTCCTTCACTTTTGTTTCGGTGTTGTCCCAGGTTTCTGCTTCTTCCTCTCGAATGCCGTCTATTCGAATATTACTCTTTCTACTTTGGTTCTCCAGATATTCGATCTTATCAGTGTGGTAATCGAGGGAACCGCACATCTTTTCAATCTCTTCTTCGACCTCATGCAGTCGGGATGAGCATGGTTTCAATTCCTTGATATCTTTCTGGGAGAACTCAAGGCTCACCTTCAAGTCGCTAGTGTCTTTTTCGTAAATATCTAGTCTAGCTTTGATTTCTGCGACTTAGCCGATGACGGAATCTAGCCGTGCGTTTACGTTGGCCAACAGTGAGTCAAATAAATTCTTAAACATTCTTTCTTGCACTTACAACAACTCCCTCAGTGTCGCCATTGTGACAAGTTCAGATCCCGCGGAATCAGTTCCTTGAGTGCTAGCAGCCTTCGTGATACGAGTTTCAGGCATAGTTAATTTAGAGTCGTAAATGGCAAATAGCGATAACAAAAATTGAGTGGAAAACAAGATTCGCTAAGAAATTAAAGCAATTATCGCGGAGTAAAGAAAGTACGACCATATGCCACTCATGTACTCGTTCTTGACGCCTTGCAGAAATCAATAAATTCCCTCAAGCGTTCTGTTATGTTTAACGTTTGCACAGGCGTTGACTTGTAAATAAGCTATCTAGCTACAACAGTTAATTTGTTTCCTTGTGAAGCTTGTGGCGATATTCCATACTGTGGTAATGCGTATCGGTCGAAACTTCTTTCATATCCTGAAAATTGCACTGCAGACAGTTGACAAATCTCAGCATATTCAGACCTACGTAAAATAACTGAATTAAATGTCATTTTAAGAACTATTGAATAGTAATATTTTCTGGGTGGCTCTGTATCTAAAGATGTAGCCTTATTTGACATGACCCCAGTATATAGGGTTTCCATCAATGAAATAATCTTATAAGGCTTATGAAAAATGAAAATAATGCAAAATGATATTTTCCCTCTAAAGAGACACCTTGTGGATACACAAACAACAGCAGAATTTCTTTGATCTAAGATAGCGCCAGTGTTCTTTTTCTTTTCCTAATTTGTGGTATTTTGGAGACAGTAACCTTCATTGATATAATGTATTATTTTAGGATATCCTTTCTGTTGTCTTTGGCCAGTTGAATCGAATTCCACGTGCGTACCATTTTTTTTTAATTAAGAGGATCAAATGCTGGAGGACCTGTTACCTAAATTACATGTTTCAAGGTCAAAGACAACAACTTCTGATTTTGCAATGTCCGCTGTACTTATAACAATCGGTGCTGGTCGGTGCAAAGGGGTGGGTATTACTGTTAAATCTGGTTAGAGCTGAACTGGATACCACTTTGATAGCTTAATCCATCCAGTATTTCTCGCTGCTGTACATCCAAAGTTCGAGCCTTCTTTCTCTCTATTCTTCTCCTCTTGTGTGAAATGCTTGCCTCTCTTCTTTTTCTTTTTTTGTACTTTCTGTCCCGATTGTTGTTAAAACACAAAGTGAATCTTCCAGGGGAAAGATTGTTGGCTTTATTGATCTATAAATGTACATAATAATCAATGCATGTTAAATTATTCAGTATACTATTCTTTGATGTAGAGTGCGTCCTTTCATCACAATAATAATTATTATGGTTGTAGTCTGTTTTTGTTTCATAGTTTCACTTCATTGTTAATTTTCCAATGTCCCACTGTATAATACTTTTAATGAGTTAGTTAGACCTAGTTATGTTATTTGCATTGTTTTTTCAATGTTGAAATTACAAGTGCAAGTTTATCTGCATATCTCTTTGGTGCTTTTACAATAATTAATATCATGGGCACAAGACATATTACATGACACAACAATAGCAGTCAGCTAAGGGGTACTGTAAATCACGTTTGGTTTAAATGAATATTGTACCTTACATACTGTTGATTTTCTACTGTTTTTGGTTGCTACGGCAAATGCTACCCTCCCTTCCAGACAAGAAGAACCAGAAAAGTGCAGACGTTTAGGGGCATGAACTGACACTGAGTTATTAAATGACTCATTGCTCTAGGTTGACCCAAGTGCTATACATAACCCACTGCAAGAACAGCTCCATGAAATGCCCAACAGTATCCTGTAGACCTGGTAAGAATGATAACAGTAAAATTAAGTGGGGAAGACCTTCTAGCTAAGGACGTTTAGTTGGGGCCTTCAAAGTCAAGTGATAGGTAATTAAGCATCTTTATTAAAACCACCCCAAGCAACAAATGTTATTGGATTACACTGATAAAAAGCCAATAAAGACAAACAGTTGGAAGACCTTTTTCTTGTTAGCTGGTAAGTATTGTAGGTTAATAAAAAGATAAGACAACTGTACACACCAGACCAGTTTCTTGAACATTGGTTTTTCCGTGGCTGTTTTTTCCTTCTCTTTGCATTTTCACAGACCTGACAACTTTTACATCTAACAGTGTAACTCAGCACTTTTCATGTCCTAGCACCAATCAGTGTAGACTGTCCTAACATAAAATTAATGCAGACTTGAAGTAATAGTGCATGACAGTAGGTGTGTTGAATAATTAACACATGACATATACCTTCAACCTAATACAAGGTTCCAGACATTTGCCTTCCATAATACCTAATCTGTCTGGTATCATCATGTTAAAAAAAAGACTTGAAAATATATCCGTTGCTATATCTTGGCGTTTGATTGATCTGCCCCTTCCATCAGATCAACACAACTCTCAGTGCACCAGGGTGGTATGCGGGCCGCCAAGGAAGCGGTGGTATCGGT